ACCTACCCCAAGCCCATCTCTATGCCTAAGTGTCAGCTCCCAATACCAAAAACGCACATTCTACCTGAAACACCCAGTAGCCACACCTGGTAGGATCTCAGAAGCATTCCCTACTAGGCAACCCACAGCCATCCACACTCTCCTAAGAACCAGAAAGGGCAACAAAACCCAGGAACAGAAAACCACCCCAACAAAGATAAGACCTGATATCAGGACCTAGAATTAGAAATATCCCAACCCCAGATGCTTAGACGTCAGTAAAAAACACAATCAATAACAACCAAGACAAATCACCACCAGAGCCCAGCAACTCTACCACAGCAGGCCCTGAAAAATGCAATACAGCTGAAGCAGAAGACATGGACCTCAATATAGCCTTTATGAATACGTTAGAAGTCCTTAAAGAGGAAGTGAAGAAATCCACTGAAGAAATCTATGAAAACACAAAGAAACAGTAGAAGAAAGCAGTTCAAGACTTGCAAGTGGAAATGGAATCAATAAAGAAAACACAAACTGAGGAAGATCTAGAAATGAAAAATGTGGAAACCTGAAAAGGAACCTTAGAGGTAAGCCTCACCAACAGAATAAAAAACGGAAGAGAGAGCTACAGCACTGGAGACACTCTTGAAGAAAAGGATGCCTTGGTCAAGGAAATAGTGATTTTTTTTTTAAACTCCAGGTACAAACATCCAGGAAATCTAGGACACTATGAAAAGACCAAATCTATAAATAACAGGAACAGAGGAAGGAGAAGAAGCAAGGTTAAAGGCACAGAAAATATTTTCAACAAAATCATAGAAGAGAATTTCCCTAACCTCAAGAAGAAGATGCCTACCAAGGTACAAAAGGGTACAGAACACAAAATAGACTGGAACAGAAAAGACATTCCCCATGACACATACTAATCAAAACCGTCAATGTACAGAACAAAGAAAGAACATTAAAAGCTGCAAGGGAAAAAGACCAAGTAACATATAAAGGCAGACCTATCAGAGTAACACTTGACTTCTCACTGGAGACTCTAAAAGGCAGAAAGTGTTCTAAAAGAAAGATGTTGTACAAATTCTAAGAGACCACAGATGCCAGGCTAGACTACTATACCCAGCAAAACTTTCAATCACAACAGATGGAAAAAGAAAGACATTCCATGAGAAAATCAAATTTAAGGAGATATCTATCTACAAATCCAGCCCTACAGAAGGCACTAGAAAAACAACTTCTACCTGAAAAGGTTAACCACACACAGGAAAACACAAGGAAAAATAACATCAGACTAGCAAATCAAAAAATGGGAAAAAAACATATCATAAGAACCAAAAAAAAAAAAGCAGAAATCAACAATGCTTATTGATCAACATCAATGGTCTCGATTCCCCAATAAAAAGACACAATAACAGAATGGATTTGAAAACAGGATCCGTCCTACTGCATCCAAAAAACAAACCTTAACATCAAGGATAGACATCACCTCGGGGGGAAAGGGATGGAAATAAATATTCCAATCAAATGGACCTATGAGGCAAGCGGGTGTATTCATTTTAATGTCTGATTTTAAAAAAAGACTTCAACCCAAAACTAATCAGAAGAGATAGGGAAGGAACTACATACTCATCAAAGGAAAAATCCACCAAGAGGACATTGCAATTCTTAACATCTATGCACCAAACACAAGGGCATCAATGTTCATAAAAGAAACACATTTAAGGTATATATACCCTAAATTACATATTAGCCCTGACTAGTGAGTGGGTGACTTCAATACCCTACTCTTGCCAATAGGTCACTCAGACAAAAAGCTAAACAAAGAAGTACTGAAACTAACTGATGTCATAAGCTAAATGGATCTAAGAGATATTTACAGATCATTTCATCAAAAAACACACAAAAAAAAATACATTCTTCTCAGTAGCTCATGGAACTTTCTCTAAAACTGACCACACACTTCATACACTTGGATACAAGGCAAGTTTCAACAGGTACAAGAAAACTGAACCAACAACAACAAACACCCAGCATCCTAAACACATATTAAATAAAGCTGGATATTAACAACAACAGAACCAACAGAAGCTAACAAACTCATAGAAACTGAACAACTCTTTACTGAATGAAAATTGTGTTGAGACAGATCCTAGGGAGGAAATTTAAAACTTTCTAGAACTTATTGAAAATGAAATTGCAACATATCAGAATTTATGGTACACAATGAAGGCAGTTCTTTTTTTTTTTTTTTCAGTGAAGGCAGTTATAAGAGGAGAGTTCATAGCACTGTCTACATAAAGAAAATGGAAAGATCTCATACTAGTAACTTGACAGCATAACTGAGAGCTCTAGAACAGAAAGAAAAAAAATCACACCCAAAAGGATAGACAGCAAGAAATAAACTCAGGGCTGAAATCAATAAAATAGCAACAACAATAACAACAAAATTACAGAGAATCAATAAAACAAAGAGTTGTTTCTTTGAGAAAATAAAATTGTAAAACCCTTAGCCAAGTTAACTAAAAAGTAGAAAGAGGAGATCCAAATTAACAAAATTAGAGACATAACAACAGACACAGAGGAAATCCTAAGAATCCTAAGGACATACTTTAAAAACCTGTACTCCATCAAATTTGAAAAGTCTAAAAGAAATGGATAACTTTCTCAATACATACCACTTAACAAAGTTAAATCAAGACTAGATAAGGAATTTAAACAGACCTATAACCCCTACTGAAATGGAAGAAGTCATTAAAAGTCTCTCAACCAAAAAAAAAAAAACACATAAATAAATAAAGGAAGGAAGGAAGGAAGAAGGGAGCAAGGGAGGGAAGAAGGAAAGAAAGAAAGAAGGAAGGGAGGGAGGGAGGGAGGGAGGGAAGGAAGGAGGAAAGAAAGAGAGAGAGAGAAAGAAAAGAAAGAAGGAAGGAAGGAAGGAAGGAAGGAAGGAAAGAAAGAAAAAAAAGAAAGAAAGAAAGAAAGAAAGAAAGAAAGAAAGAAAGAAAGAAAGAAAGAAAGAAAGAAAGAAAGAAAAAGGAAAGGAAAGGAAAGGAAAGGAAAGGAAAGGAAAAAGGAAAGGAAAGAAAGGCCCAGGGCCAGGTGGTTTTAGCACTAAATTCTATGAGACTTTTGAAGAAAAGTTAATACCAATACTCCTCAAATTATTCTACAAAATAGAAACATAAGGAACACTGTCCAATTCTTTTGAAACGGCCATGGTCATCCTAATACCTAAACCACATAAAGAACCAACAGCCAGGTGGTGGTGGTGGTGGTGGTGGTGGTGGTGGTGGTGGTGGTGGTGGTGGTGGTGCACGCCTTTAATCCCAGCACTCTGGAGGCAGAGGCAGACAGATCTCTATGAGTTCAAGGCCAGCCTGGTCTACAGAGCGAGATCCAGGACAGGCACCAAAACTACACAGAGAAACCCTGTCTTGAAAAAAAAAAAAAAAAAAAAAGGAAAGAAAAGAAAAAGAAAATAAGAAACAACAAAGACAATTATAGACTAATTTCCATTATGAACACAGATGCAAAAATTCTCAAATACTTGCAAACCAAATCCAAGAACACATCAAAAAGACCATCTGCCATGATTAAGTAGGCTTCATTTCAGAGACTCAGGAATGGTTCAGCTATGTAAATCACTAAATGTAATCCACCATATAAACAGACTGAAAACCCATAAGATCATCTCATTAGATACAGAAAAGGCCTTTGACAAAATTCAACACCCCTTCATGATAAAAGTCCTAGAAAGGTTAGGAATATAGGGGACAAACCTCAACATAATAAAGGCAACTTATAGCAAGCATAGCCAACATCAACTTAAATAATGAAAAACTCAAAGTATTTCCACTAAAATTGGGAACAAGACAAAGTTGCCCACTTTCTTCATACCTATGTGATGCAATATAGTACTTGAAGTCTTAGCTAGAGCAGTAAGACAACTAAAGGAGATTAAGGGGATACAAATAGGAAGGGAAGAAGTCTAACTATTTGTAGACAATATCATAGTATACAAAAGTGATCCTGCCGGGCGGTGGTGGCGCACGCCTTTAATCCCAGCACTTGGGAGGTAGAGCCAGGCAGATCTCTGTGAGTTCGAGGCCAGCCTGGGCTACCAAGTGAGTCCCAGGAAAGGCGCAAAGCTACACAGAGAAACCCTGTCTCAAAAAACAAAAACAAAAAAAAAAAAGTGATCCTAAAAATTCTACCAGAAAACTCTTACAGCTGATAAACACTTTCAGCAAAGCAGAAGTAAACAAAATTAACTCACAAAAATCAGTAACCTTCCTATACACAAATAACAAATGGACTCTGAAAGAAATCAGGAAAACAACATCCTCCACAATAGCCTCAAATAATATAAAATATCTTGCAGTAACTCTAGCCAAGCAAATGAAAGACTTGTAGGATTAAAATCTTTGAGACACTGAAGAAAGAAATCAAAGAAGACATCAGAAGATGGAAAGATCCCCCACGCTCATGGATTTAAACTTAAAATAGCCACGCTACCAGAACCAATCTACAGATTCAATGAAATCCCCATCAAAATTCCAACACAATTCCTCATAGATCTTGAAATGACAATTTTCAACTTCACATTGAAACATAAAAAATTCAATCTAGTTAAAACACTCCTGAATGATGAAAGAATTGGTAGAGGTGTCACCACTAACCTCTTGATTTACTCATTTAATTTTAGGGTCACAATCTGAAGTTTTTTTTAAGATTTATTTATTTATTATGTATACAGCATATATGACTGCAGGCCAGAAGAGGGCACCAGATCTCATTACAGATGGTTGTGAGTCACCATGTGGTTGCCGTGGTTGCCGGGAATTGAACTCAGGACCTCTGGAAGAGCAGTCAGTGCTCTTTACCACTGAGCCATCTCTCCAGCCCCACAATCTGAAATTTTATGTGTGGTTTGTTTGTTTGTTTGCATCTTTAAGACAGTGTTACAAAAGGTTTCATATTCAGATCACAAAGTAAGCATGCATATCACAGGATAATACCTTTCAATTTAATAGCCACATCAATATAGGATTGCAGGAATGCCATGGATACTGCATGCCCTACAATAAAATCAGAAAGTTCAACAGACATTAGGACATGCTTATCTACAGAGCACCCATACTTACATCACACCCATAAACACATGCAGAGATTTATGGGAATTACCAAAACTAGCATTTCCAAATAACAAATAACCATACTAAGAGTACTCTATATTATTCAATCACTTATACAAATTCCAAATACAACTGATTTTTTTATTCATGCTGTATACATTGAAATGGCTATTCCTTGAAGATAATAGATTTTCTGTACTACTATAAAAAAATGTTGATATATTTAAGATAGTTACATTCAAACACACTAGTGTCAAAAGTAACTAGCTGAATTTCTAGCGTAATCGTTTACCTTCATTTTGTAAATTATATATCTAGAAAAAGAGAAAATCAGTTTTACTGCTTAGAATCAAAAGCAAATGCTTCAATGTGTGCAGTCTACCTGAGACACGAAAACTCTGCCATTTTACAATGTATAATACATAGGAAGCAAACATAAAACCCGTCTCCTTTAAGGGTGCTCACGTGAAATATAGCATCCTTCCAAAGAACTTACTTACAGGTAGCATAAAAGAGCACTATGCTGTCAGAAGTCGTGACTGTCGAGTTAAATGTTTCCTGTGTTAACTCCACTGTCAGCTCCAAAGGTAACGGTCTCTTCCTATCCCTGAAAACAGTCTCCTCCACTTCATCATCTTGAATAGCTAAAACGGTTTAAAGAGAGCTTAATTTACATATAGATTGCATAATTAAATATTCAAAATGCCACGAGCTATCATAGGAAAGGTAGTACTTTATACCAATTTCTGAATCCATGTTTTCTAAACAGTATGTATGATATTTAGAAAAGTTCTCAGTTGCCTGGTTATAACTTATGACTCTGAGATGCTTTCTGACCCAGAAATCACAAAATTGGCCAATTCCTGGAGCAATCATTTCATTTTATTCTACAAACAATAGGAATATGGCAATTTTGTTTCTAATCACTATATTAATTCAGAATCCTAAAGGAGTCTACCATTTTACTTTTTACTTATTTAGAGCCCACAGGGTGCCAAGCATGATGATAAACACTAGAATAAAGGGTTAAAAGACTTATCCTTGACCACATGGCACGTCTATCAATGAACAAGCTGGGCGATAAACTCATCAAGGAATAAAGATACACTTACAAATTCTGATCAGTTTGAAGGCAAAGGACACAGTGAGGGCTCTTAATAGGGAAATTTTAACTAGGAGATCGAAAGTCTGCCAGGCCAGGAATAAAGAGTGCTTTATACAATCGAATAATGCTGCAAAGGCTCGCAGACATGAAAGTACTTATCACACACAGGCACTAATGAGACGAACTGTAAAGAGTGCACGGCAAGAGAAAACTCTAAGCTGCTGGAGCCGTAGGCAGAAAAATGAGCCAAGAATTTCGGATTAGGAAACCCTAAAAGCCTACATGTCCACTGCCTTCCTTTAAGAGTGGCCCTCCTCCCGTGGCACCAAGAAGTTACAGTCTCAATAACAGAACTCTTGAAGGTCCTCTTCCTTGTGTACTATACAACACCTATACATTTTTCTTCTTTTTCTATGTGTTGCCTTTTTATGGAACCCAGGATTCTCCATCCTAATTCACACTTCGGCCACTTTCTTTGGGAGGTACTTGTCTCTTAAACTGCACTGTGACGAATTCTTTCCTAAAACCCTTTTCTATTTCTCTGTAAATGGGATGATTCAAAGTAGAGAGGGGATTATGCATATAAGGCACGACATTATGCAATACCAAAGGCCAATACAGATTACACATAATAGGAGGTTAAAATGGAAAAAGTTTATCTGCCCCTCCCCCTCCCCCAAAAAACTAGGAACAAGCTGGGGCATGACAGCAGGTACTGGGGAAAGCAGTTCTGTGGAGGGCAAACTGAAGCAAACAGAAGGAGGCAAGAGGAGACATGACTTCCACAAGGAAATCTTGAAGCAAGCAATGGCTGCTGAGGAGAGGAATCTCACTAAACCAAGACAGGGTAACCTGACAAGTAGAACAGAGCAGGCAGCAACAGAGCAGAACTCAGGTCAGCTAGTTTAAAGTTAGAAGAAATCTGCGGAGGAAACACAAGAAACTCCACTCTACACACCAGACGAGAACCCGTGCTCAGCTCAAACCAGCGAGCAGGTCACTGTAGCAGCTGAAGTTCTTATTTAAGGGCAGCACTTCGATGCTGATCATGATAACGGGTGCACCTCAAGGGGAGCCCCTTGGAGACTCTGGTGATGATATAATGATATACACAGGGCGTTCAAATACTCACTAGTGGGACACAAAAACAAAACATGATCCCTGATTCAGAGATTTGTAGTTTAGGCACACACGGAAAAAGGTAAATAAGCAATTACAGAATAAGATTAATGTCATGAAAAAATATTAGGAATGATAACGAAAGCAAATCAGTCTTGTGTCAGGATGCTTAAGTTCTGGGCTGGGCTCCACCACTGTACTGCTGGTGTGACCGTGGACAAGTCACATAACTGTGGAAACAGATTCCTCAGCTATAAATCAAAGGTGAGGCTAGTTCTCTTAGAGAACTTGATTGTTAATCAAAGAAAGCCATGTCAGCAGTGAGAATAAAAGCCAAAAGTGACTGCTAAGGAAATAAATAGTAAAATATTACTGAAATCCACCAGACGCGTTTACAACTACAAACACAATAATGTTGATTACGATTTCATTTCCCAGGAGGAACGATAAAAATGAGATACGCCACGGCTTTGTGTGGGTCTGTGAGGTGCAAGCCCGGTGGGTGAAGAGGACTGACTGTGTGAGACAGAGGCAAAAGTATGGGGAGCTGGAAGCCCGGTGTGAACCGGTCCAGGTTCCCACCAAAACGCAACAGAAAGCCTCATTCATCTGCTCACCAGTCAACCAATGTGATTCCAAGTCCCCCGTCCCCAGATTCCCTCACAGATCCTGAATGAGATCACATCAGTGAAGACGTTCATCTACCGGGTATTCCACTGCTGGGCTGGGGGTGCGGAGGGCTGGAAGGGTGGTCTTGCAGTTCTTACCCAGATCTGGGCCTTCCTCATCTCCATCCTCATCTTCCTGTATTTCTTCAACGTACATATTATTTTTCACGTGGGCAATTATTAAATCAACATCATCTAACACCAGAAATTCCACAGGCGCTTCCTAGAGATGTTCATTTTTTCAAGTTAGCACACAGAGTGACAGGTGTCGTTATGACGTTTTCAAACATGTCAACATATTTTGTGCTTATGTGTCCCTTTCCCCTACTGCCCTCCCCCAACCTTCCTGCACCCCCTTTGCGGGTCTACTGCCTCCTGCTGAACAGTGCCCCCTGCTGTTTGTCACATGAATGCCTTCCCCCTCTCCCTCCTCCCCTTTCCTGTAAATTCCTCTCCTCTCTCTCAGGGTCTCCTTTCTAGTTTCCCGACTCTTACACACACACACACACACACACACACACTCACCTAAATTCTGCATACGAGAGAAAACATGCAGTATTTTGCTTTCTGAGTCTGTTTTATTTCACTTAACATAATGATTTCTTAGTAGTTCTATCCATTTTCCTAAAACGTCATGATTTCCTTTTTTTTTAACCACTGCAAAAAGTCTATTGTGCGCATGAACTACACTGTTTGTCTATTCATCTGTTGATGGACATTAGACTGATTCCAGTTTCTAGTTATTGTGAATAGTGAAATAATAAGAATGGATGTGCAATATCCCTGTGGTCTGCTGACTTAAGAATCCTTCAGACAGATGCCCAAGAGTGGTATAGCTGGATCATATGGTAGTTTCATTTGTAGACATTTTTAAAGATTTACTCTTAAAGTGTGTGTGTATGTGTGTGTGTGTGTGTGTGTGTGTGTGTGTGTGTGTGTGTGTGTGTAGGTATATGCACATGAGTGCAGGTGCCACAGAGGCAGAGCACCAGAGCCCCTGGAGCTGGAACTACAGGTGGCTGTGGGTGCTGAGAACAGAACTTCAGTCCTGTGCAAAAGCAGCAAGCACTCTTCACCAATGGGCTGTCTCTCCCGCCCCTTTTGTGTACAAAGTATTGATGCATGTGTGTATATGACGTTCATGTGTGTGAATGACACTAGTGCCGGGTAGTTTTGTGCCAACTTGACACAAGATATAGTCATCTAAGAGGAGGGAACTTCAGTTGAGAAAATGCCTCCAGAAGATCAAACTTCAGCAGGCAAGGCAGGTAGAGCATTTTCTTAACTAGCGATGGATGGAGAGGGCCAGCCCAGTGTGGATGGTGGCCTCCCAGTACTGGGTGGTCACGGGTTCTATAAGAAAGCCAACTGAGCCCAGCAGCGGTGGTCCACGCCTCTAATCCCAGTACTCTTGAGACAGAGGCAGGCGGATCTCTGTGAGTTCAAGGCCAGCCTGGTCTACAGAGTGAATTTCAGGACAGTCAAGGTGGTTACACAGAGAAACCCTGTCTCCAAAAAAAAACAAAACAAAAACACGAGAGAGAGGCGGGGGCAGGCTGAGTAAGCCATAAGGAGCAAGCCAGTAAGCAGCACCCCTCCATGGCCTCTGCATCATCTCTGGCTTCCAAGTTCCTAACCTGTTTTGAGTTCCTGTCCTGACTTCTTCCAATGATGAACTCGTGTTCATTGTGTGAGCCAAATAAATCTTTTCCTCCCCAAGTTGTTTTTGGTTGTGGTGTTTCATAGCAGTCTTACAACTGAGAAAAGGCCCGTGCCTGGGAATGTGGGTGTAGATGTGGCACAGCACATGCATGGCGGTCAGAAGACAACCTTGTGTGTCCTCCCTCTCCACCCTGTGTGACACTGGGACACTGCTGTCTGACCAAACCAGCTGGCCTTCACATCTCTAGGGATCCACCTGTCTCTGTCTCCCTTCTCACTAGGGGGGCTCTGTGGTTCCAGACACTCACTATGAGGGCAGGTTTTTGTGAGTTCTGAAGATCCACACTCAGGTGTCGGCACCACACCTGCCGATCCCTCTCCCCAAGCCTACACAGGCTATTTTTCTAGTTCTTTGAGGACCTTCCGCCTGATTTACACAACGGCTGGGCCCGTATACACTCCTGCCATCAGTGTATAAGGGCTTCTCTTTCCCAACATCCTTCAAGTGTTTGTTGTCACGTGGTATCTTGATCTCTAATATGTAACAAAGCATTTCAATCTAAAATATTTTCCTTCCTTGGAACTAAAATAAAATCACAACTCTAAACTTCAGTTTTGAAATTAAACAAACAACAAAAGGAAGTAAATGCCACCGTTACTACAAAGAGAAAGCATCCAACATGTGTTTCAGCTAAAGACAGATGCCCTCCTGAATGGGGCAAAAAAGAGGAACTGGAATCCTCACTCGCTTTTTGTCACATCTAGTGTGAGTGAAAAGTCTTACAAAAAAAATTGCAGGTTCTAGATCTCAAGACAAAAGAGAAGAAATGTGAATATACACCATTTTCTTGCAAATAGAACCAATCAAAATGGGTTAATTTTACATTCTACCAAATAATAGAATTAATACTTCTTTTAAGAGACTTCCTCCATAAAATTCAATTTCCTATCTAACTCTAAACATGAAATTATTCTTTACTCCCAGTTAAGAAAAGCTCTTGCTACCAAGCCTGAAGGCCTGAGTTCAATTAGGGGAACCCACACAGTACAAGGAGGACACCAACTTCAACAAGTTGTCCTCTGACCTCCACATGTGTGTCAGAGCACCTGTGTGTGTGTGTATATGTGTGTGTACGTATGTCTCTCTCTCTCTCTCTCTCTCTCTCTCTCTCTCTCTCTCTCTCTCTCTCTCACACACACACACACACACACACACACACACACACACACACACACACACGTAGAATAATATACACCAGTAACCCTAGCATTCATAGCATGCAGGAGGCTGAAACAGAAGACTCCAAGTCAAGGGTCAGTCTTAATTACACTGTAGAGACCCCCTGTTCCAAAAAAAATGAAAATAAAACAAATCTCATTTCCTTTGGCAAATTTTGCTTCCAGAAATTTTGTCAGAAAAAGTAATCAGTGATATTCAAAACAATTTAAAAGGACAGGCATTACATAATAAGATCAAATAACTAAATATAATTTTAGGGAAAAGTATTCCATGTGGACTAAAGTAATGCAGGTTTATTATTGGGAAAATCTTTAAATTATCATTCTTTAAATGCATAATTGCTGTTTTTATTTTCTAATGTGTCCGTCTCTTTTCCCATGTTCACATATATAATTTTTTTCTGACTTTAGTCCCCATGGATTACCTGAGCTAAAAGAGGTAGCATTATAGACCAGTGTGTAAAGTGACTAACCTTCTCTGCTCTTCTGAAGGCCACATTAGCATGCTGAGGAATGTTCACATCCACAGAGTCCCTTTTTCAAAGTGGAAATAAATCTCTTATTCATTAATCTGAAGAAGCCACCCAAGATGTCAATCTAAAACAGAACTGCATGTTCTGATTCTAAAAACGATTGTGAATAGAAGATTACAATTTAGTGAGACTGAGAAACTTCACGTGTAAATACCAGCTGAATTATCTGGTCCTCTTTTTAATTTTAATCAAGCTACTAACTAGTGTATAGTCTTCAGCTCAGGAGTAGCTCTGACTATACTAGAATCTGTTAGATATAAAGGTTTTTGTGATTAGATTGCAATATTTAAAACAAGGGAAACCGCACTGAAGCATCATTAACACCCAACGCGTGATACCTCGACAGCAGCAGAACACCTGCTTTCCCCAGAAGATGCCAGGCCACCCACTCTGCAGTTCTTCTGTCGGCTTCATATGTAGCTTGTCGGCTGATAATAAAAACCAGTGGTAATCCTAGTTGTAGATGAATGGTTGAAACTTGCTGAGGATCTTCAGCCACTTCCGTCTCCATTTAGAGAAAAAGGAAAAACATCCTCACTGTATGGTATTAACCCGACATGACAGACCAAACTGACTTTCCCAAGTTATCCTCTGACTTTCACACATAAATCACATTGCAGTGATTAGACATATACTGCAGTGGTTTGAAAGAAAATGGCCCTCAAAAGGAGTGGTACTATTAGGAGGTGTAGCTTTGTTGGAGTAGGTGTGGCCTTGTTGAAGCAAGTGTCTCACTGTGGAGGCGGGCTTTGAGGTCTCCTATGCTCAAGCTACACATAACATGGCACTCAGTTCACTTCCTGTTGCCTGTGGATTAAGATGCAGAAGAAGCCGGGCGGTGGTGGCGCACGCCTTTAATCCCAGCACTTGGGAGGCAGAGCCAGGCGGATCTCTGTGAGTTCGAGGCCAGCCTGGTCTCCAAAGCGAGTTCCAGGAAAGGCGCAAAGCTACACAGAGAAACCCTGTCTCGAAAAAGCAAAAAAAAAAAAAAAAAAAAAAAAAAAGATGTAGAAGAACACTGAGCTCCTTCTCCAGCACCATGTGGGCCTGCATGTCGCCATATCCTGCCTTGATGATAATCAACTAAACCTCTGAAACTATAAGCTAGCCTCAATTAAATGTTTTCCTTTGTAAGAGCTGCCATGGTCACGGTGTCTCTTCACAGCAATAGAACCCTAACTAAGACATATACTATCCATACAAAAGTTTGAGTCTTACTTCCTACTTTTGCTTGCTTAAACTATAAATTTAATGTAAGCACACCAAGTTATTTCAGATCCTAAATGCCTAAGCCCAGACTACTTTACAAAACCCAATGACTATTGCACCTCAAAGGCATGTAAGGTGACTGATGTGTAAACTAATACAGGAAGAACACTGTAGAACAGTGGTTCTCACCCTTCCTCATTCTGTGCTAATACAGTCCCCTCATGTTGCAGTGACACTCTGGTCATTAAATTGTTTTCATTACTACTTCATAACTGTAATTTTGCTACTGTTATGAATTACAATGTAAATATCTGATATTTCTTATGGTCATAGACAACTCCTGCGGAAAGATTTCTAATGGGGTCACAACCCACAGGTTGAGAACCACTGGTGTAGAGTGACCATGGGGTGTTGGTGGTATACCTCTTTAATCCCAATACTACAGAGACAGGCAGCTTTGTGTGTTTCAGGCTAGCCTGATCTACAAAGTGAGTTCTAGGCAGCCAGAGTATAGGGCTACACACTATAAGACCTTGTCTCTGTGAGCATGGCTGGGGCTACAGAATAAGAACAAACTACAAACCAGTCCTTCAAATCAACTACTGATGGGCCTCACAGGTTAGAATCTGTAGTAACCCCAGTGCCTCCCTACCCCTGCCATGCCACCTAAAAGCATATTCTTGTTATACTCAATTTTGGCTTATGGGTTGTTTCCTATGAAAAGGCTTTGACCTTACTTTGTTTCATAACCTCAAGGATATTCATTAAGAACAAAAATAACCTCAAATACTAATGTGGCCAAATCCAAAGTCAGAGGTGACCACATCAGATCAGACCTCTAAAATCTCCTTATCCCACAAAAGCTAAGACATCAGCCCTCACTCATTCCCAAGGAGTCTCTGAGCACTGTCAGCCCCCTGTATGTACCTCATCCCTCCTCTGCAGAAGGACTGCTAGAGTCTTCCTGGCTCTTGCCAACCCTTCCAGAAACCCTGGGCCAGAACCCGATTCTCACTAGCTCTCTAACCCCCGCTCCCCTCGGTTTGCATTCAGACCTTTCCTGGCTTCCTGCTGCCAGTCACTCTGACCTCTAGTCTCTGACCAAGAATCAGAAGCCACATCAGCTCCTTAGCAGTCCAGGGGGAATGAAAGGAATTATTCAATGAGATGCTTGTGCATCCTTTTGTGAGAGTTTTGAAAGAAACTCCACTCCGAACTTCAGCAACTTAGTACTCCTTTTGCAGAGCAGAGGCGTTTATACTCCACAGTTCCAGAAAGCACCACGCAACTGTAAACTGTTTCAAGAGCACATTCTCAGAGAATACAACACTAATCCTTGACTTTGTGCATGTCATGTTTTCAGGTGCAGCCATGCTTAACCTATTCCCAACTTACTATGCAGTCTTCAAAATCTGGGCTTTTTTTTTTTTCATTTCAAATTTAATATTGCATAATTCCTGCCATAAAATGAAATAAAAACAGAGAATCTCCTTCCTGAGTATCTATTTTTAAACATAGTTTTTAAAAACAAAAGAAAATTCCTGAGTAGAAACTAGGAAAAGGAAAAACTTCAAGATGTCCATAGCAAGAAGAAAAACAACATTTTTATTAAGTTTAGTATAAGTTAAATTCTTCCCTTACTGGTAGGTAAACAAACAAACAAACAAACAAAAACCCTGCATTTTCACCTGTTTTCGCTTTTACGATGTGGATGTGGACGTGGACGTGGACGTGGACCCAGAGTAGAACTAAGTCATCAGGCTTGGTACCTGGCACCTTTGCACAATGAGCCATCTTGCTGACCCAAAATTCAGAGAATTCTTTTTTTTTTAAGATTTATTTATTATGTACACAGTGCTCTGCCTGCATGTATACCTGCGTGCCAGAATAGGGCACCAGATCTCATTATAGATGTTTGTGAGCCACCATGTGGGTGCTGGGAATTGAACTCAGGACCTCTGGAAGAGCAGCCAGTGCTATTAACCTCTGAGCCATCTCTCTAGCCCCAGAGAATTCTTAGTACCCAACTGAAGATAAGAGAACAAGGTTGGAGAGAAATGGTGAAGACCTCTAGCAGGTAAACTGTTCCCTCCCTTCTCCTGTTCTTCAAAAGGAACATCAGAACAAATCCAAAGGGTACTCTGTCCATGGATGGAAGCCATATCTGCCAATCTTTGTCAAAGATAAAAAAGATCTATTAGCTACTTCCTTTAAATTTTTTTTTTCTTAAACTGGAAATGTGGAAAGTGAGGTAGGAGGATCATGAGTTGGATGCCGGCTTGGGCTATATAGCAAGTTCAAATCCAGCCTGGGCTATATAGTGAGACTTTGTCTCAACAACAACAACAAAACAAACAAGCAAACAAAAACCAGAAACTTCTTTGCAAACAAGATCCGACTGAAAAAAAAGTTATTTAACATAAAGAGCTAAAGGATTAAGCCAGCAAAAGTGTGGCTGGCTAGCTCTGAGTCCATTAAATGTAAAACCTGGCTTTTTAAAAGGCTGGTTATGACTACAAAGTGGATTAGAAATATATAGATTTTAACAGTGCAGAAAGAAAAATATTAACGAAAATTAGAAAGGCCAGGGGAACCGAGTTGAAAATGAATATATGAAGTTAATTTTCCCATCTTACAAAGCAAAAGCAAATACCTCCTTCCACCTACAACGAAAACATCAGAGTTTTAAAAACGTACTCTTTAATTTCTTAGTGTTTTCATAACTCAACACTTGAGACAGTATTTCCTAAAGAATACTTGATAAGAGTGAAATGTTCATAAGAAGAATAATCCCTTTAGATGCTTATCAGTTTCTTCTTCTGTTAAGTCCATGTAAAATTTAAATACAGTGCTTCTCACTACAAGATGACACTCTTGTTTGTCCACAGAGCTACCCACACTCCATCTGCATAAGGCACAGAGAGAATGGGAGTGAGATCATCTGCTACTCACTTTCTGACTGATGAGACAGGGTAACTTGCATTTTTTAATTTACACTTTGTGGTACTATTCTGATTATTTGTAAAACACATGAACCATTTTTTAAAGATGTATCATGTGAGAAAATCTACTGAAGGTTTTCCATATACTCAAAAAAAAAAAAGCCTTTAACATTTCAGAGAAAGTGCTGATCACCATCATCAAATGTGTCTCTAGAACTCTTGAAGGCTAATGTTAACCAAAGTGAGACACAATAGGCTAATGGTTGCAATAGTTACCAACCTTTTAAAGAATGATTAAAACACTCACAAAAGAGAACTTGTCTTAACCCTGATTGGTCTCTGTACTCACCAAGTATCTGCACTCATTATAACTACCACACAGCATTATCACTCGTTATGTTTAGGAATTTTGATATCACAAATCAAAACATAAAAATACTATTTTAAAAACAATCGATATTCAATGTTTAACAAGAAATTACTCTCAAATGCTATGAAATGAAAGTGATGTGTCCAAAAAAGAGAAATTAAGATACACTCATCAATGTAAACACTTATCTGTGAATCAAAACTTAGTAAATTTCATGTGCGAAAATCTGGTATAGTAAAATGAAAACATATACCAACAGAGGTGCTTTCATTGTCTTCACAAATACGTGAATATTCAGTGTAGTCAACGGTTGCTCCATTAGTGTTCTTCTGCAAAGCTCGGTCAAGTCCAAGGTCAGTTTACAATGGAAAAAGTAGAGATGTGCACGTTGTATGTTCTCAGAGCTGCAAATTGAAAACCAGGAAGAGACACTTGATGAAATTCAATGTGCTATCCTCTTACAGTCCAAAAGGACCTACTAACAAATTTCTTTGCTTAACTCTCATGTATTAAATTACTATTTTAATAAAAACCTAAGAGTTAACTTTAAAAATAAAATCAACTTGGACAAAATAAGGTAGAAAATATTTAAGAAAATTAACCTTGATATCTGAACAAGCTCTTCAAACCCTTTTATACATTAAGGTCTAGATTAGGTTATAGGCCTCCATAAAAGACTCACAGGTGAGATTACCTTTAAATATCGCTGTCTTCCCAGAGCTATGCCAAATGAAGCTTTGTAATGCAAATCTCCTAAGTTTCATTTAAAACCAAAGCTGTTTTGAATAAACTTTAGCTACACTGTGTCTTAAGACAGAAACCATCTGATAGCTGTGGGGGTCTGTGAATTTGATCTGATAAATTACAAAACTGGGCCAATGCAGTTTATAATTTGAGTTTTGGCATTATTTCAATATGAGAACTCAAACTTAGAGTGAAGATTAAATTTTGCCAAAATTAAAACAACATTTTAAAAATCTCCACGTAGTGCTAATGGAGTTTTGCAAAATACTACAATACTTGATTTTTAAAATAGCATGTCTAACTGAGTAGTCACTGGTTTCTAATTTAATTACAATGTGATTCCTAATAGAGTCAGTGATAAGTGAAACAATCAGAAATATTTACTTAATAACTATTGTTAAAGCTCTATGCTACTTCCAAAACAGTGCCCGAGACCCCTGAGCTGAAATGGACCTGAATGCCCCATCTTTGAGGATTAGCCTTCATGGTACCAGAAGGCACCACACAAGCTTTCAAAGGAGGGAGGCACCCGACAATCCTGCCCAGCTACGATCCCTCTGAATTACATCAACAACCAGCACAGCCGAATGACCCTAAGAGTGACACACAGACCTTGGCAATAACCCAGAGCTCTCTGATTGGACTTAAGACCCACTCAACAAGAGGGAGACCACACCTGGTCCTGGAAACCTAGCTACCCTCAGGTAAATGCAGTCCTTATCCTTCCTCAAGGAAACTTCTCTTTGCAAAAGACAGACCATGACAGAAAACCGCAACCAGTCCAAATGCAGAGTTGTGGAGCCCAGTCCCACTCTACAAGACCTCCTGCACCTAAGGCTCAAGGACCATCATGGAGGAAGGACAGAAAGACTGTCAGAGCCAGAGGATCAGGGAGTCTGCTGTGAGACTGTCTGCTGGTAACACCAGAAGCTGTACACATTAAGTCTCATCAACATGACTGCCCAAATGTGAGCCGAACAAGGATGATACCAATGAGTATGCTAAACTAGATGAAGAGAAGCCCATGAGGCCTCAGCCCTACACAGAGAACTACAGCCAACCGAGGAAAGCTGGGCGTGAGAGAGGAGGCCCTCCACAGGGAAGAGCACACCAATTGGTCGTCCAGTGCCAAATGGGCAGCCCTGAAAATACACAAATAAGTATCGTTACATGGACTCAACAGACTATATTTAGGAATATATATGCACACATAAGTACCTATATGCATGCAATAATAGTGGCAAAAAAAGAGACCATGAATTTGTAGCAGAAAAGGAAAAAGTATATGAGTTTAGACCAAGGACAGGGAAGGGAGAAATGTTATAATTAAATTTAATCTCAAAATGAACAAAAACAAAAAAGCTCTATGTTAAACAGTAAAGACTAATAAGACTACTGGAATCCTTTAAGGGCTTAAGCAGAGAGAGATGTATGAGGGGAACGACTATAATATATAAGACGTACGAAGAACAAAGAAATATTTCATTCTGCCTCAAGTTGGGAAGGAGAAGAAAGGGAAAGAGAGGGAAGACCATAGAGCTTACACAGAAAGGGAGGCATAAAATCTTCGCAGGGAGGTAGGATAAATGTGCATTCCGAAGGAAAGCAACCACTAAGTAGTTAAGCCCTAAGAAAGTGCATAGCTTCCCAAGGGATAACTCTGTTCCGCTTGCTACCCACAGCCAAAAGCAAAGTGCTGAGCACAGGATACCCTGGTTAGGGCTCTACTTCTTTTTTTTTTTTTTTTTTTTTTTTTTTTTTTTTTTTTTTTGGTTTTTCGAGACAGGGTTTCTCTGTGTAGCTTTGTGCCTTTCCTGGTACTCGCTTTGGAGACCAGGCTGGCCTCGAACTCACAGAGATCCACCTGGCTCTGCCTCCCGAGTGCTGGGATTAAAGGCGTGCGCCACCACCGCCCGGCAGGGCTCTACTTCTTAACAAAGGCTCCAAAGTAAAATAAAGGCAGGCAGCTACTTTAATCAGGGATCCTTAGTTTGCTACATACAGACCCCCAAAGAGGGGGAGTTTACTGAAAGTTTAGAAGAGCATGTCACAGAAAACAAGGGAAGTTCAATAACGGACTGAAAACAGTGTTGAGAATCCACCATGGAGAACTGAACAGCGGGGAAGCAGAGGCTTCACTTGAGCACCAACTCTCAACTCCCAGCCCAACTCTGTGAGGATGTCTGTTTGTCCTGTAATTAACCCGACACCTACAGAGGTGTAAGAGCACTTCTTACATGTATGATGTCCTGAGAGGTCAATGGGGGCGGGGGGGGGGGGGGGGGGGGGGCACATGGGAAGCTCTGGCACAATCACAAGAGGTCATGGCATTTTTGCCTTGCTTTGAATTAATTTTCTTGGAGAGAACTTTCGAACTACATTTGGTGGTTCAGTTTCATTGGTTACTTCTTGGGATCTTTAGTGCTAAAAGGAGAAACTTTCCTCTTGACTGCCCCTCCCCATAAAAAGCGCTTTAAGTGGGCTTCTATCTAGAACTGTACATTATGAAGAAAATTAAAACATCCTGCTCAAAAGCTGCTTTAAGTACACTTGGGATTATTGTCAAAAGACTCTCTGGAGCCTAATTCTGAAACTGCCATGTGACCATTACAGGTCTATTCCTAAGATGCCTCCTGTCACCACTGTGACACTCTAGCATATGGCTTATCCACTGTCTGTATTCACCCCAAACTATCACTGTCTCTATGTACTGTCACAGAGTGGTTTACACCAGAGTAATAAAGGCATCCCAGGTCTCCTTATATAATTACAATGTGTGTGACTCCTTCAGAGAAACCCAAGCCATGACAGTGATGAACAGCAACATGAAATGTGTCCACAACAGAAAATCAAACCATCGACCTGGGCCTCTCATACATACCCGATATTTTCTAAAACGGCAATTTCTGTGGTTAAGGCAAACTGATAGGAGGTCCCATACACAAAAGCGGCTTCCATGACTGCTCTGTGCTCTGAAAAGGAGACGGGGACAGAGTTAGCATGGGACTCCATGTAAACTTTTACTCTGAATCTTATCCTAACCCTTCTATTAGCTATTAAATTTAAGGAAAAATACAAAGGAACGATGGTTCAGTAGATAAGAAAGTTTGCTACTCTTCCAGAGGACCTGAGTCCATATCCCAGGACCCATGTGGGGCAGCTTGTAACTCCAGCTCTGAGGGAAGCAACATCCTCTTCTAGCCTCTTCAGGCACCCACACACGTGGCATACCCTCTCACAGACATATACATGTAATAAAAGTAAATCTTAAAGAAATTTAAAATATATCTTATTCAAGTTTATAAAGGTACTGAGCCCACAAAAAATGAATTATACTTGAATATCGTTGTAACATACAACTGTGTGATTATTTCTTCTATTAGTGGAAAGTATGTATGAATTCACAAGTTTCATGTTCTATTTTATATATTTATAAGTACATTATTTTTTTATCAATTTTAGAGACAATTCAATAAGGCATATTAAGAAAAGAAAAACCATTCTCCTACTTTCTATTCCATCTCCAATACTCAAGGCGGAACACTTCTAATTCATCTATTACTTCTTTTGTTGTTTATCTGGAAGTCTGTAAATGTCCTTCTTATTCCCTTATTTCCTGATACCTGCTATCAACACGTACATGCAGATACACAAATGTAAATGGCAGATAAAGTTACTACTCTATTTGTGGGTGCCCCACTGTGGAAGATAATAAATTACATCTCTTTTCTGAAACCCAGCTCTAGAAATGTACATGCTTCACACTCCCTTAGCCCTTCTGGTATAGATCTAATTTTTATTACATCTTATTCAGTGTTTACATTATGACTCAGGAGTATTAGTTATAGACGAGCCATAGAGAGCAGAAAGATGGATTACTTCTCCTTTTTATGAACACATTTGTTTTTACTGCAGTTGTACCTATTTCTTTACATTTTTTTCCTTTAGACGTCTTTCTTTTTAAACTCCTCCACAATCACTCTTCTTTGTCAAGATTTCAAATGTATCAGGTACGTTATCTAGCCTGTCATCCTGGAGATGCTTGTTGGAGCACACTGGCCCATCAGTGCCTTGCATTCTGATGGGCCAAACTCCTGAAGTCAACTGCCACCTGCTGTTCCTCTGACACAGTCACCAGGCAAAGGAGGATCCCCAGGACTTGCTGACCGGCCCCATCTAGCTGAATCAGTGAGCTCCAGATTCAGCTAGATCAGTGGTTCTCAACCTTCCTAATGCTGCGACCCTTTAATACAGTTCCTCATGTTGTGTTAACCCCCAACATAAAATTATTTTCGTTGCTACTTCATAGAGGTGATTTTGCTACTGTTAGGAATCATAATGTAAATATCTGATCTTTTCAATGGTCTCAGGCATCCAAAAGGAGTTGCAATCCACAGGTTGAGAACCCTGAGCTAGAAGCTGTCTCAAACTATAAGGAAGAGAAAAACTGAAGGCACACAAAACCTCTGGCCTCCTTGGATAAGCATGCACAGAGGGTGGGGGCTGGATAGTCCATATGCTCCAAGCTGTCTCTGTCTATGAACTCCCCTAAACTGATGCCATACTCTGTCTCTTTCTTCCTATTACCACAGAGGAACTCTCTGCACTCCCGTGGCAGAACCACATCTCCCCCTTTCACTAGATCCCACCCACCTCTCCCCCACTTGGTGCTCTTGCTGCAGCCGCTCCACTGCATGATGCATTCCCTCCACTCCCCTGCATGATGCATTCCCTCCACTCCCCTGCATGATGCATTCCCTCCACTTCCCTGCATGATGCATTCCCTCTTTACAACCAGCACTTTGTCAATACACAAACAAGTTTCTTTACAAATTCTTCTCTGCCTCTCATATTCTCACATATCAGACAAGACCCAGGTTTCCCCTTTCCCTTACAGTGAAACTCCTCTCCTGGGTCTCTGCATTCATCTCCAATTTCTCTCCTATTCTCTCACGCTTGATTGCTATCAATCTGCAGAAACTGCGCTGGTCAAGGTCATCAGGAATCACCATGCTGCTAAGCATTATGGCCAACTAGCAGTTCTTAATTCACTATACTTAACAAGTCCTGTGTTCCTTAAAATCTCATCTTCAGCAATATCCCATTCCCCACTGCTCCTCCCAGTGATGAGGACTGAGCCCAGGGGCTCAGAAAAGCTAGCAAACCTTCTTCCACTGACTCTAGCCCAACCCCCAATCTTCAGGGTATAAGTAGAAATGGCCCCCTTAGAGGAGGGAACTGGCTATAACTTGAATGTTTGGAGTGTCCCGGTTTCTGCTGATTACTGAAGCCTGAGAAGACATCCCCTCAAAAGAATTCAGAAACATGAAAATGTCTCTGTACTGTGGAAGGGCTCACAGAAGTAAATCATTTTTGGCATTATAGGCTCCTGTCCATTCAAGTCACTAAGACATAGATAGCTCTTATTTGAACAGAAGGATGAGGTATGCATGCCCAGCAGACAGACAGATTGTGCTTCTTTCATAGCTGGCTCCTTTATTTCAGACATCAGAACATTAATAGCTAGCATACCCACTGAGCTGGAAAGGCATGCTCTGTACTGAACCTAGACCTAAAAGCTCCTTTTCCATAGGTGGGATGTGTAGCTAATATAAACATTCCCAGTGCCCAGAAGTGGATCTTGAGAAACAGTATGCTGTGATGTTTCCCAAATGTGCCTGGTTAAGAATCACCTGATGCTTATTTTAAAAGACTTAAGGGATTCCCTCCACACCTGCTGCTTAAGCTTCCAGAAATGGAGACAGAGTTCAGGGGTCTTTCATTCTGTGAACAAAGCCTTCTTTCAGCTAAATACGGAGGATGCTCCATGCTATTTATAGTCCCGGCTCTTCTCCACCAAAGTTAGAGTCATCACTTTTGTACCAAGAACATGGCTGATAGAAAGGATGTATCTACCTTCGAGGAAGATCGTTTTTATTATTATCCACACATGGCCTCTGTGATGATCATCCTGGTGTCAGACAGGATCCAATGCCTGCATGTCTACCAGAGCTCTTTCCAAAAAGAACACTTTTGTCCAAGCATGGTGATACATGCCTTTAATCCTAGCCCTCAGGAGGCAGAGGCAGGTGGATCTCTCTGATTTTGAGGCCAGCCAAGGCTACATAGTAAGATTGTCTCAAAACACACACACACACACACACACACACACACACACACACACACACACACACACACACACACACACCCTTCTTCCCTCACAGGAATATGTGATGCTGGTGGAAACCATGCAGAAGAGACTGTCCAACAGAAGTTTTAGAAGAGAGGGGGGATAAGGAGGGCTAACGTACTCTTCATTCAGATCTGGCCCTTTCCTACCAGCTCATTTACGACCACTTGTCCTGAAAGCAGTGCAGATGAATGTTGTTCCTGTAAACTGCCTGTGTGAATAATGCTGCAATGGACACAAGAGCAGATACCTCTGCAAGACAGATTCGGTTCCTTTAGATAAAAGCCCAGAATTAGGATTGATGGATCAAATGTTGGGGTGAACTCATAAGAACTAGAGTAGAGGCAGCTTACTCTGCCAGGAGGTGGCCACAACCCTAGAGAGAGGACCCCTAGATCTGGAAAAGTAAGACTTTCCCATTCTGGATGGTCCCCAGGTTAGCACCACCAATGGTCAAGGAGTGTGTGCCAAAACAGGTGGGTTCCCTACCTCTTTACCCTAGACCCGGCCATACACATCCCACACTGGCATCACTGAGGGGATGCCAGAGACTGTATGAAAGGCAAGCTACAGGCTAAGGTCATATAAAGCAGAGTAGAGCGTGAATCTTTGGCAAAACACCTCTATAGTCGTGTTAATGAAAATATTTTCTATGAATGGGCAATCCAAAGTACCAATGTAAGAAGACAGTCTGATGAAGTCAACTCTCACAGTCAGAGTGAAAAGTAAACCATTGGTTTGGAGGTGAGCCCCCAATGACGTTTTCTCAAAGGCCTTTGGAACAAACCTCTCTATATGAGTTGTTAATATCATGCCTATACTACCTGCCAAAATATGCCTGGGTGATTCTGTTTAAAAATTTTTACCCAATTATTATTTAAAATACATGGCAAATCTTTGGAGAGGTGGGGTTTGAAAAAAGAAAATACACAGCAAATCTCAAGTTATGTCTGAATGACATTTCACCCTCCCCGAATTAAGAAAACCAGCACACTTTCAGGTCATGGACAGGCCCATTCTCAGATGTGGACATTAAGTCACTGACACATTTCTGAGCCACTGAAAGGGAAGAGAAATGGAAGTCAAGTTCTTCCTCAGTGCTCTGGCGTGAGGTGATGCTATGTCCCAGTGGGGCTCACAGAAGGAGGACTAGAGGCCCCTGAGAGAAGACTGGGTTTGCTGTGTTAAATAACCACCGGATTTTATGGTGCTGATGACCTTCACCTGGGCTTTTGTGAGAGTAAACAAATAGCAAGCCCATTCCACCTCTGCAGCCTCATGGGACACACTAAACCGAGGGGTCTTCTTGTTTGTCTTCACAGCATCCTATACCTTGAGATAAGGAGAAACGTTCAGAGGAGGACCAACTAGCATGCCTTTCTGGGAGAAAGACACTTCTCTTCCCTCTGCCTTTAGGCAAGCCTGCACGCAGACCACCCCTTCCGTCCCTTGTACTGGTCCCTCTTCACCTCTGAGTGCAAATGCCCAAGTGCTCCTGGGCATCACAGCTGTACTTCTCAAATCCACGCCCCTTGTCTGCATCCCCAACATAAAAGTGCAATCGAGTTACACCCAGCTACCTAGTGTATTTCACAGTATGATGTCAGAAAGGGAACTCCAGACCTCCCATTCCAAACTTTCCAGGCACCTCTGTCTCTGCTACAGGACAGAAAATACAGCTGTCATACTCCACCTCCAGAACACTAACCTACGTTCACACTCGTCCCCACATCCACCGCCGCCCCCGTCTAGGTCACCCCCATCATCTCCTGCGGCAATACTGTCGTAACTGCCCATCTTCTCCCTCATTCTGCCCCTTACTCCTTCCGATCTATTTCAGACATCATTGTCAGGTTGAGGCAATTAAATATAAATCAAGGACTTAATTCCTTGTTTTTCTATAGCTGAGTGAGCCCCTATCACTTACGGTTTTTCACTAATTATAACTAGAAACCGGGGAAAGCAAAGTCTGAGAACCCTGAAAAGTCAACAAAATAGGCAAGTTGTCAATATTGTTTTAAATTTTATTTTATTTTTTTTATTTTGAGGGAAAATGCTCACACGGTAGTTAGAAGACAACTTCCGGTAGTTGGAGCTCTCCTTTCATGTGGGGACAGGGGAATCCTAAGATTGGAACTTGGGCCATCAGGCTTAGTGGCAAGTGTCTTTGCCCAATGAGCCATCTTGCCAGCCCTGAAGTACTATTTTATAAGGGTATGTTTTGTGACATGCCAGCAAGCTACATGTTTATAAAAAAACTAAAATTTCAACATATAGTTTATTTCATAAAAGCATAGGATTGGGTAGGGAGATGGCACAGTGAGTAAAATACTTGGAGTGTGAGAACTGGAGTTTAGATTCCTCAAAACACATAAAAAAGACAGGCAGGACCATAATCCCAGTGCTCGGGGGGCAGAGATAGCAGATCCTCCAGGGCAAGCTGACTAGCTAAACTAGCCCAATTGGTAAGCTCCAGGTTCAGCAAGAGACCTTATCTCAGGAAATAAAATGGAGCAATTGAAGAGAACTGTGGTGATATATTTGTAATCTAAGAAATAAAGCTTGCCTGAAGATCAGAGGACAGAGGCAGCCACAGACGAAGCCACAGAGGTCAGGCAGTGGTGTCACACGCCTTTAACGCCTTTAATCCTAGCACTCAGGAGACAGAGGCAGAGATCTCTGGATCTCTATAAATTCAAGGCCCCACTGGGCTACACGAGATTAATCCAGTCTAAAAAAAGAAACAGAGCCAGGCAGTGGTGGCACACACCTTTAATTCCAGCACTTGGGATCACACACCTTTAATCCCAGCTCTAGGAAGGTTGAAACAGGAAGTGCTGGGCAGAAAAAGGAATATAAGGTGGGAGGAGACAGAAATTCACTCTCCTGCAGAGGCTCTGTCAGCCTGAGGAGTTGATTAGGTAAAAGGTGGTAGCTGTGGCTTGCTCTGTTTCACCCTATCTGGCTCCGGGTTTTATTATAAGACCATTTAGGATTCGTGCAAAAGAGAACATTGGTATTAACCTCTGGACTCTACATGCACACCAACATACAAATACAGAAACACACACACACAATGAATGAACAAAAAAGGTACTTAACATTTGTGGAGGTAAGAGGTCCTTGTGCTCACAGATAAGCACTAGGGAACCAGCAATGTTAAACATACAGGGCTGTCTCTTCAAAGGGAGAGACATAGAATGTGTTCTCCACCCACAAGACTGGAAGCAGACATGGTGAATAGCATGGTGACCTTTACACTATCTGTATGGCTGAGACCACACCAGATCCTGGCCCAGATCTTTATTGTGAACTTGTCACTCTACAGACCCCTTCGTTATGGAAGATATCACATAAACTTTACAAAGAGCACGTGGAGTCATGTCTTAAATTTTCTTGTATACATGGACTGAGTTGATTACCATCAGGAAATTTTTCACCAGATTGTCCTGTGCTTAAATAGGCCTAAAATAAACTACTTGTGGTCAGACTCTTGAAGTTTGAACTAACACTGGCTACTTAGTCATGGTGAACTGAATTATCCTCTTGCCTCATACGGTTAGTTACTTGCTGTACATGGTGCTCAGAGAGGCCCCGGCAAACATGAACGTGAATAAGTTACTACCATTAACATCTAGCAGTTCAGAAAATATAACTGAACCTGCTCATAAAATGTTTATAAACTTCTTTACAAGATAATTAGGTACTAATGTTTATGTGGATCTGTCAAAAATGTGTTTTTTAAATTAAGAAAAACTATAAAATATTTATATCTGTTTGGCAGAGTCAATAGTATTTATCAAATATTAGAATCTATAATAGGTACCATGAAGACTGTAAAGGGAATAAAACTGGCAATAATAAACATTCTTATGATACTACTAAATATTCCAGAAAGCATTTTATTTATTCAGATTCACGTCATCCTATTCTGGGTTCAATCCTGTGCCCTGAAAAACAATCATTTGAGCCTCACAAATGACACTAAGAGGTAGGCATAAGTATTTTCTGCCATGATCGGCATGGCTTGATCCTGGAGACCTGACTGGTACAGTGAGGGAATGAAGAAAGGACAGACAGACAGACAGACTTGATCCTGGAGACCTGACTGGTACATGAGGGAATGAAGAAAGGACAGACAGACACACACACACACACACACACACACACACAGAGGCTGGGATCAGGTGGGTTGGGTTCACTCTGATGGAAAGCACCTACTCTCAAAACAAGAAGGTTGGGGGGGGTCAGCCTGTCTCAGTAGGGGAGCAGTCTCAGGTTGCAGTCATCTGGGAGGAGGAAGCTTTTGGAGCTTTTGCACACCCTGTTCAGTCTGGTAAACACTCATACTTAGACCACAGGAAGGCTTTGCCGTTTTCCTCTGAGTATCACCTAGAGGGAGGCGTCAGCACTCCTATGGGCCTGAGACACAGGGTCTTTGACATGGCCCTGCCCACGTCATGCTATACACACTCACTCAGGACTTCATCTGCTCTTTCCACATTCACTCCAGGCTTCCTCGGCTCTCCACAAAAATGTCCCCCATCTAGAGACTGGAAAATGGAGGTTAAATAACTGGTCCAAGTCACACTCTCAGCAGCTGAGGAGCGGGGAGGCCAACCTGGACCCCTGGGTTCTGGAGCAGGGCTCCACCGTGCTGCTCCTTACCGGAGGTACAGCAGCAGAGGCGCTTTACCCAAACACTGCACTAAGCTGTCTACCGCCTGCAGCACTTCAGCGCAGTCACACAAGTCCACCAGGCACAGCAAAGACCAAGCGAGCTCCAGGTACCTGGTGTTCCGATGGCTTCCACGTATGCGAATATCATATCTGCTTTCCCTTTCAGAGAATTTTCTATGCTGTGAAGGTCTTCCAGGATGGTTACATATTTCACTTCATTAAAAAGCAGAGCACTGAAACAAACACAGATGAAAACTAGTGAAAAATCTGTCGTGGATTTAACTACATATGTAAAAACTCTATTAAAAAACCTAACTTTTTTTTTTTAAGTGTAACTTCTTTGAACAAATTGTGAGTAACGAGAGCACAATCATTCTACCAGCACTGGAGTAAAACTGGTCTCTGAGCCGGGCGGTGGTGGCGCACGCCTTTAATCCCAGCACTCGGGAGGCAGAGGCAGGCGGATCTCTGTGAGTTCGAGGCCAGCCTGGTCTACGGCGCGAGATCCAGGAAAGGCGCAAAGCTACACAGAGAAACCCTGTCTCGAAAAACCAAAAAAAAAAAAAAAAAAAAAAAAAAAAAAAAACTGGTCTCTGGGTCACGCAGGAGGACACCGGTGAGACACAGCACTCATTCTCCGTCACCTCCGCAGACTTAAGCTGCAGTCATTCACATCCTAGTCTAATCCAATCTTACAGGTCTCTCAGGCTTGGATACGGTGAGCCATCCACATGTCACAGCTGCGGGTTTCTTTCCAGAGTCCCTAAGCCTTTCATGACCTAGGCACTATCTACCTTCCCAACTTCGTCGCGTCTCCCTGTGCTCAGCCTGACACACTCCAGGCACATCTCAGAGCCTCTGGTGGGAGCTACGCCTTTGCGCCATCTGGCACATCTGGTCCTTTAAACATCACCTCGGAGAAGACGTCCCGCTGCTCCTGTGTCAACAGGTCTGCAGCTTTTCCTTCTTACTCACTTCTTCCTTCGTGGCGCATGCTATAATTTGCAATTACCTAGAACTACACTTTATTTCATTTCCGTGTTACTTCCTCACTCCCACTAAACATTATCTCCTTAAGGCAAGGACCATGATACGTTATCGGTGTATCACAAGAAGTATAAAAATAGCGTATAGTGCATAGCAGGTAATCAGACTTTTATTGAGATAACCAAAGAAAACAGCAGGACATGCTTCAATTTTGAGAAATGGAAATTCAAACCACTGGAGAGAGCTGGGCATGACACACCTATCTGTAACCCCAGTGGTGGCAAGAGGATTGTGAGTCAGCCTGGGCCACAGAAGAACAAAGAGAGAAAATAATACTGTAGCGTCTACTCATAAAAACATTTACTGAATTAAGGCTCCAGGAGCAGGACACAAAGCAGATACTATTGTGTCTAGAACAGTGAGCTTCCTACTTCACCATAATTGAGAGTATTTCTTTGTTTTATGAAGACAGTCTCTCATTCTGTAGTTCAGGCTGGTCGGACCTACTTTACTATGAAGCCCAAGTGGGCCTTCAGTTTACAGCAATCCTTCTGCCTCTGCCTCCCAAATACTGGGATTCAAGCATGAGTCAACATGTCCAGTCTACTAACAAATTCTATTTCTTCATCAAAATGATTCCTTTATTTTATTGTCTATTTCTATATAAGTTGTGCCCATGAACAAAGTTTTTCTTTTCATTTATTCTCTACATGCATACCATATTTTTATTAAGTTAATTAAAGATTTTGGAAAGTTTTTCCAGGCTCACATACTTAAGTAAGTAAAGGACCATTTAAATACTTGCAATAAGCTATTCAAATACAGCTTTCTCTCACGGGAAAACACTTTCCCTTAAACAGAAATTCTCCAACCTTTTGGGATTGAGACCCTTTTATAAGTTTAACCATTACTGATGTCCAATTTGTTTACGTATGTTATCCTGTTAATAGTTGCCAAATGGAAAGGGGGAATTTAAAAATACTTCATTTTAGAAAATAGGAACACTGCTGCATATTATCATAACTTTTTCATTTAAAAAAAAACTTCCAGAACAAAAGAAAAACTCATAAAAACAGTGTCATAGTTTTACATTTTTGCAAATCTCTTTCCTATGAAACCAATCTGCATCTACATCCACTGTGTTGTGGTACCATATGTCATATGGCCTCTGGGAACCTGTTCATGAGAAAATGCTGCAGAAAAGGGTAAGTAATGCCTGTGTCACAAGACTATGTTGACTTGGTAGTCACTCTGAAAGTGCTATTCCACATGATGTTAGCTTGAATATTTAACTATTTATTAAAGATTTATGAACTAGGAAAACGAGCTGGAGTCCCCAAGGGCAGCCTCTTGCTCTGCTTTCTGAGCATGCTCACTGTGCTGGGTACTCTGCATGCTTCCCTTATAGCCCCACCAATGGTGCTGGGGCACTGCTGCTCTACACAGGAAGTGGGCGGGCTCCACAGCATTTACCGCTGCTGCTAGAGCTGAGATTCAAATCCAGGTCTTGTGACAATAACAGGCTGACATTCCGATGTTATCACCCACCCTTTTGGGAACCAGGGGAGAAAGGTATTGCTGTATTTAATGAGGCAATTCCACGTAATTTATCTGGTAATCAAGAGAGGTTTACTTCTGGGATAACTACAGTCAATAGGGATGGGTTACAGGATCCGGGAGAGATGAGGTATCATCCAGCAGAGAACTCCAGCTTGGTCTCCCATCCAGATTCCAGGACCATGAGGTATGCAGAAGAGAGCAAGCACATATGCACCTTGAGTCTTAAGGGGGTCTCTCTTGGCCACGCCCCAGGGGCAGGTCAGCCCCAGGGGCAGGTCACAGGCAGGTGTGGCAGTTACCGGCCATCACTCTAGGGGCAATGTTTCAAGGCCAAAGCTGGAACAGCTACCCACTACAGAAATGGTCTTGCTACTTAGCCCAGGCTGGATTCAAATCTGCAGGGGCTCCTCCTTCCTCAATCTCAGGCGCTTAGATAACAAGCACTTCCCACCACACCCAGCCATCACTGACCACTCTTACAAAGTGGAAAAAGGGTGACAGCTAATGATGGGGTCAGGGGCAACCCAGACCTACACCTTTAGGCCAACACCCCAAAAATACCCTTGAGGTACTTCAAAACCAGCTGAGCATCATCCAGGGTGCTTAAAAGGATCCCATGGGAATCCTTAGCTTGGAAATTATATTCAGTGTGAACACAGCCCAAGTTTCTGGCAACAATATCACAAACTTGCTTTTCCATCCTCCCTGCTACAAGGCTTTGCTAAATGACCTGGAATCAGTTGCTTGAGATTCTGGATCAGTAGCAAGTGATAAGAAGAGCCAGGGACAGTAGAGAATGACTTGGAGAGGTGGCGGCAGGACAGGAATGCTTCGAAGGCAGTAATGTAACAGTGTTGCCGAGCACCCCAATGCAGGTAGTGCATCCAGTGCACAGCAAGAGTCCTCCCCACTTTAGCATGCCATGATTCTAACCACAACTCTGGGCTGTACGGCCTTGCAGTCCGGTTCTCCGACCCTTCAGGTCAAACTGAGATTTCCTGTATCTACTCCAAATCCTTCTGCTTCAGTCAGACCCTGGTTTCAGGGTCTGGACTACGAACGAACCCTATGTAACGCACTCACTCTGTCTTGTTTAATTTTCATGGCAAACATCTGAGATGGAACTATCATTAACCCCATTTTAAAGATCAGGCTACAGGGTTTAGAGAGGTTACTTTGCCTAATGTCCCAAAGCTCATTAAGGAGTCATTATCCATGAGACAATAATAACCAAAACTAATGACATTCATAATCTAATGGTCTCTGTGATTTTTTCCCAGTGGCTTCCTGGCTTTATTATATTCCTTAATAGGCTGATTGCCAGAATATGAGCCCTGTCTAGGGAGCTCCGGGGTCCATCCCACAAGCCTGTCTGTACTCCTTCACTTTAGTTCCAAAGAAGAACTGCTGACAGAAATGGGTTGAGGAGAAAGTCTCTCTTGGGATTTCTTGCTCTGGTAACGTGGTGAGATGGGCTGGGCTGTTCAAACTGGGGGGTTCTTTCTGCCTCATAAAGGCCTTCCCTTCCTTTGGCGATGCTCCTCCCAAGACTCCTCCATCAGAATCACCACGTAGCCTAAGACAGATGACCGGGACTGAGCAGGTGTCAGTCAAACAAAGGAACCAAGAGTCTGCTTTTCCATTTTGTTACAGTGTAGATCAATCGTCCCTTTTTCAGAAATTACAGTTGTCAGAATCCAAATTCTTTAAACAAAGTATCAGTAAAACAGTATAAGCTAATTTAGTATCCAAAATATCCCACAAGAGGAACAGGGAGTAGAAAAGGTATGATTATTTGTATGTGTGCAGAGTTTTCTTTATTCATGCTTCATTTGTTTTGTTTTTGAGATATGATTTAATAGGTAGTCCAAGATAGCTTGGCCTTCACTACATACGTAATCCAGGCTGGCTTGAACTAATTCCTTCTGCTTCAGTTTTCCAAATGATGGTGTACAGACAGAACAGCACAACACTCCCAAGAAATTACTATTATCTAGACCACCAGTCTGTGACTATCAGATTCATACAGAAAGTGACAGATTGAAAACAAGAAGTCACCTGTGAAACAGGAACTGAAAGTCCAGACACAAGCCCAGTCCTTCTCCAGCACTGCAGTCTCTTACCAGCTTACCCCTTCGAAAACAATTATGGGCCCATAAAGGAAGACTTCTGCTTCTTCCACACCCAGCAAAAGCGTGAGCTTTCCAAATTCATCAACCACCAAGCCACCATGTATTGAGCACCTAACAGATTTCACATACCACATTATGCTCCCAGGTCACAGTGTGAAGATCTAACATTAATACCAATTAATAGCACTGTGACAAATTCCCATCCAAGACAAGCAACCTTTTATTCTAACTATCCAATTAAAACCTCCATCATCAAGTTGGTGTATTTTCAAGTAATGTTTTAATGACATTTTAAATATCATTTTAAAAGCCCACATAATTGGCTATAGTGCTCCATAAGTATCTAATTTACAAATAATTAATGTGAACATTATCCTAAATTTATACTTATTTCATTCTCAGATTTTATAACTTCATTCTTTCCGAACCACATTTCTTTATATTGAAAAAAAAAAAAAAGAAGTCATTTATCAAAACTTTTGATAGTCTATTGACAAAAGGAACAGCGTTGAAGAAAAACTGTGGATCATTGTTCTCAACCAAACCATTCTACA